GAGGTGAGGAGCAGCTCTGTGATAGCTGGTACAGCCATACCCCAGAGGCTCATGTCCACACACAGTCCAGAATCACCCCTCACAAGACAGAGAGCAGGGCTTCCACGGCCCCCAAGACCACACGTGGTGGCCACCACCAGCTGCCACTCAAAGAAAAGAGAAGGTGGGCTTCCAGGAACAAGCTCGATTCTAGCCTCAATGGCACAGGGAAGCTTAAACTTGGGGGTCAGAGGGGGTTCAACTCCCAGGCCTGCCACTTCCTAGGATGTGACCCCAGTTCTCCATCTGGGAAAGAGAGAGCCTAATAACCACCTGGAAGGACGTGACCAGGCACTTTGTTAGTGGGCACCCCCTTCCGGGCCCTCTCAGCCAACCCCACCCTCGCTGGCAAAGCCCCAGCTCCAGTCAGTCCTGAGGCTGGAGTCCTCTGGGCCTGAGAGAGAGAGAGAGAGAGAGAGAGTCCCCGAACCGCAGAAAGTGGGGGTTGGTGGGCACTGAACTTTCGAACCGCAAACCCCACCCCACCCCCAACCCCTCGCGCCGTTCATTACCTTAACACGAGTTAAAAATAACCGTCTCATCTCTTTAAATTAGTCTGTCTGCAATTACCGCCTGGCACGGCGCTGCCCGCCATCGTCCCGCTGGAGCGGCGCCAGGTGGCAGGCGGGGCCCTCACCCTGTCTGTCGGTCTGTCTGCTTCCTAGTACCCCCTCTTCCCCTCCCTGCAGCGAAGCTACCCCCAGGGGCCTGGGGACCCAGCTCCCCAAGTTGTATGGGTATGGGGCCCGCACCCTGGGCTCCGGACAGCCAAGAGCTAGGGGGCGGACGGGCGGGGAGCCGAGGGCTGGGGTGGGGGATCCAGAGCGCGGGGGACAGAAAACAGATGTGTGCTCACATGTGAGCAGAGAGCCAAGGGGAGGGAAGGGCAACTGTGGCAGAGGGGACAGGCACAGAGGCCGGGGGAGGTGCACCTAGCAGACCTGGGGGTTTCAGCCTGAGTGCCCTGGACATGCGATGCTCTCACTTCCGCTCGTGCAGTGTGTTTGTGGGGGGGTTGTGAGGACACCCCCCCAACCCTGGCTCACACAGCCTCTTCCCACACCCCACTAGCCCTGGGGGCTGGGGATCCCCGGAGGACAAAGAAGGAGGAGGGAGCCCTGCTTCAGCAGGCTAGGGGAGGAAAAAAGGGGGCGCCCCCTGTACTCACAACCAGTGCTCAGCCCAGCTGTAGCAGGACCCCCCTCCTGGAGTCTCAGATCAGTCCCTCCCTCTAGCCCCCTTCCCACTTAGGACCTATTGGCCAGCCTGGGCCATGGGGGTAGCACACCATCCCTCCAGATCCCACCCCCCAACAGCCAGGCTGCTCCAGGCCCTGAGGGTGAAGAGAAGTCCTCATCCCCGTGCTCCTCCCCCACCAGGCCTGGGGACAAGAATGGGAGGCACCCAGGCTTGGCCTGGGAGCTCCCAGGGGAGCTGGCAGCCAGGAAACAGGCAGAACAACTCCAGGGGCGATAAGAGACAGGAGTGCTAAGTGCTTCACCGGGACCCAGAGCAGCCTGGAAGGCTCCCTGGAGGAGTCATCAGTTGGGAAGGTGGAGCTGGAGCATCTGAAAGTGGGAGGCTCTACCTGGATGTCTGATAGCCACACTTCTGGGACACTAGAGGGATGGGGACCTCCTGTCCAAGCCTCTTCCCAGGCCTGGAGGCCCTCTACTCTGAGGGGAACACTATCAGCCTCTATGTTAACAGAGTTCCCAGCACCAAGGCTGGGAACGCTCTTCAGGCTTCAGCCTGCTGGGTGTACTGCGCCTGCTGCTCTTGCCTCCTTCAATATGCTCGACTACCTCCCCACATCACAGGCGGGGCCACCAGGCAGAGGCCAAGCACATGAGCCCTTCCTGATCTGTCCCACTCTGCCTTTCCCGTGCCACCTCCCTGCCATCCTTAGGAGCCTTGGGTTTTAGCCTAGCATGCCCAGTGGTCTCCCAGACCCAACATGCTCAATGCCACCTTCCCTGGAAGAATTTCTCCCAAGTTCTACCCCAATGAAAGCAGCTCAGATCAAGTGCCACCTTCTCAGTGAGGGCTTGCTGGGCTCCCCAAGGCATCTAACCTGCTTCCCCATACCTCTGCCCCCACCCCTGGCCCTACCTTCCTGTAAAACACGGGGCCTGGGTGTGGAACTGGCTGAGCCCTGGTGTGTCCTAAAGGCAAGTCCAATGTCTTTCCCTTTGGTTGACCTACTCCATCTAACCCAGGGTTTGGTACAACCCAGGGATCCCAGTCCAACATTTATGTGTGTGGGGGCAGGGAGTGGGGGGAGGAAGGAAGGAATAATGGGCCCTGGCCCCAGTCTAGGCACCTGAGGTACCACAGCCCCTGCTAACCAGAGGTTGGCTGGGAGTTAGGGATGGCCCCTCTACCAGGTCCCCGGAGGGACTGACTGGGAATGGGGGAAGAGGCAGCAGGGGGAGCAGGATGAGAGGGAAAAGAGGCTCCCTGGGGAGCTGAATGGAGGGAGTAGAAGGAGGATAACCACCAGGGAATGAGATGGGAAAGGCCAGAGTCCCCTCTGAACAGCCCTCCCCCAGTGGCTGGATGGTCTCTGCCAGGACCTAGGTCAGGAGCCCAAGCCTGAGCCTCCCTCTCCAATGCTCCAGCCCAGGACAAGCCTTCCAGAACTCCCTCCTTCCTGAGCCCAGACCCAGGGAGAACCACTGTGTCCTGAGCAGCTTGGTGCAGTGGAAATCGCATCCAATGGGCAGGCTGGAGATCTGGGCCGTCATCCAGGGCCTGCTGCTCACTGATGGCCTGAGGAAAGTCCCATCTCCTTCCTGGGCCTCAGTCTCACAGTCTGAGAAATGAACTCGTGGGACTAAGTTGTCTCCAAGCGCATTCCCAATCACATTTTAGGATTTAGACCTGCCCTGTTGAAAAGCCATCAGTGTCCCACTCCCACACCCAGCGCCAGCGGGACACTATCTCAGAGGCTCTGTGAGGCATGGGAGGGCGAGACCCCAGGACTGGAGTCCAGCTTTCCCATCTACCGATGGTGTGACCTCAGGCAGTTCACTCCTTCACGCCGTGCCTCGGTGTCCGGCTCTGTACATGGTGACAATAAACCCCCCTCAGGGACTGATGAGAGCCTATAAGGAGACACCGGGCACAGATGCCTGAAAGTGTCTGGCACAGGCTTGGGCCTGAGAGCCTCAATGAACTGCAGTTCTCTCCTAGCTTCCGCTTCAGGTCCCCTCTGGGCATCTTCCCCCATCATCCCTAATCCGGCAAGCCCAGTGGGAGCGCGACCTCCTGCAGCAAGCCCTCCTGGCTTACTCTGGCCCACAGCCTCAGCATCCTTTGCACCATCCACCCATTTCTTCCCCTTTTCGCCAGAGAGCACTGGTGGCTCCTCAGTGCCAGGCTCTGCCGCTGGGTGCTGTAGGCACAGAGATTACTCCGACACTGCCACTGTCTTCCACAGGCAGGGTGGGGAAGGGAAACGAGATAGGACACAAAAGACTAAGACCTCTGACAGGCAGGGAGAGGACCGGAGAAGGGGGTACCTACGCTAACTAAAAAGGGTTAAGGAAGGTTTCCAGGAAGAGGCACCTGAACTTTGCCCTTCAGAACAAGGAATATAGCTACAGGGAGAAGTAAAAGGTGGGACAGTGCTGGGGAGCGGGAAAGGAGGTGGGAGCAAAGCCCAAGGGCAGGACACACTTGGGAGGAGTAAGTGTTCCAATGGGAGCTGACCCCAAGGGGACTGGAGAGGCTAAGGAAGGAGGCTCGTGTCTGCTTCTCCACCCTGTGACCCCACCCCATAGTGGCCTGAGAGCCATAGGCTCCCAGGTCAGAGCACCCACGACCCCTATAATGCAGCCACTGGGCATCTAGTGCTGTCCATGCCGACAAGCTTGCCCCCCCTACCCCCCCACACTGGCACCCCTCCTCTGACCCTGTCTGCAGCCACCGCCAGGCACAGCCCCCTCCCTCCATTTAGGCATGCCTCCCTGGCAGAGATCCTCCTCTCCCATAGGGAGTCTGACAGCTCACAGACCTTAGGCACAGTGCCTCCATCCCCAACTTCCTATCCCCCCCCCCCCCCCGCAAAATACTGACTATTCCCATTCCCCACGAGAGGGTCTGGAAGGCATAATCCAGTCAAGCCCCTGTCCTCTCCCAAGATGGCTCTCCCCTTTCCCCTGGCTGGCAGTGAGGCTTCCCTTGGGGTGCCCCTGCCCCTCCCCCACTCCCACATGCATCTGAGCTCAGAAAGCCTGGGAAGTGGAAGACAGCCTGGGGTAGGCAGGGACAGATCCCCAGCTCTCAATACCATGCCCTAACACCAGCAGCAGTCAGCACCAGCCCATCATACTGATCAAAGCAAGGGGGACAGCAGCTGCCCCATGGAAAACTCAGATCCCAGGTCACCTGACAAGTCACCCCACCCCAGACTAGCTGGTGCCCTAAGGTGAACTCCTGGCTCCACAGGAAGGGCTGTGAGCTGAAGGTTGCACTCCTCACCCTGGGGTCAGCGCCAGGCAGGGAAGTGGGGAAGATTTGGGGGGAAAGCAGCCACTGACCCAAGTCATGATGCCAGCTCTTTAAGGAGGGTGCCCTGGTGGAGAGGGTAAAACAAGAGTAACTCAAAGCACACTCATGGGGTCAGAAGAGGCTCCCCACTGTCCGAAGCCTGGGAATGGGTTCCTCTGAGATGCCTCCAGGGATGGGCTGGGGGTGTCCTTCAGGGGTGCCTCAAAGTGGCAGTCAGTCCCTTGTACCCCATGAGACCTCCCATCCCGCATCCAGAATATGCACACAGCTGCTCCCAGCACGCCCCCTCCTGTCTGCTGGCCGGCCCCACGCCCTGGGCTCACACTCCTTGACCCCTGGGGGTGCCCCGCGGCGTGGGGGGCTCGCCCGGAACCCAGACGCACAGAGCTCCCTCTGGAAGCCCCAGCCAAGGAGCCCAGCCCCTCTCCCCAGCCGGACGCCCCCACCTTCCAGCCGGCCGAGCTGTTGCTGTCGCCTTTATCCTTGAAGTAGGGCACGTAACGGACCATCCAGTCGTAGATCTGAGAGAGCGTGAGCCGCTTGTCCGGGGCGCTCTCGATGGCTTTGGTGATGAGGTCGGCATAAGACAGGTTCCCCCACGCGTTTCGCCGAGAGCTCTTGGCTTTCCGCAGCGGTCCGACCTCCGCTCCCAGTGGCGGCGCTGGGGCCATCGGGGGCCGTCG